GACATAACAGTGCATTAAAAAGGCAAATGGCAGGTTTGATTTAGAAACTTTTCATAGAAACATCGTTAATATGGGAGTTAGAGAAGAAGAAAATAAGTTTTGTGTTGGAATACGGCCCATCTCTACAACAGTTTGACAAGTATGTTTTGACTTCAGAACAGAGAGCCCTGGTCCTTTACTGTTTGGACTGAATTCTCCATTTTCTCAGAGTTTTGTATATGGTTCCCCCATCCTTTGGGTTCAAGGCTGTTGTAGAAACTGGAAATAAAAAACAGATGTAAAACCCATTTGGACTTTTCATGGTGCACAAACATTGTTCCTTCCCCCCTACCCATGCTGTGTGAAAAATGCTATGAAAATGCTTATGCCTTGAAGTAATAATCCTGTAGATTAGAGAGAAAAAGCACTACATTTCTTTGGATCCTTCCCCCATATTCTTATATCTGATAATAACAGTATTATAATAATAGCAATTACGTGCTGTCAAGTCAATTCCAACTTATGGTGACCCTTTATAGGGTTTCCAAAGCTATACAAATATTCAGAACTGGTTTTCCATTCTCTTTTTTTCTAGTGGGCATGCTGGGAACACGCAACATGCTCAAGGACATAAAGGCCAGCTTTTCTCTAACAAGGCCCAATGATTTCATCTCACTCAACTACAGTACCTCGCCAGCTATAGCTATTAATACTCCTGTCTATCACCGCTGTTCTACATTGTCTCCTCTACTAATGAAACCTCAGAGGTGTTTACACATTACACCACAGGTGACTAATTGACCAGTAAAGTGGACTGTTCCCCCAAAAAAGCATTGGGGGGGTGAAGCATCATCCCTATTGGGACCATGAATTGATGCCAAGTTGCACTGAACATATATTTACACTGGCTTTATTTGTAGCCGTAGCTTTATTTATTTGCCACATTTCTCCCAACGAGGGCCCAAAGTGGCTCACAACATTAAAATTCACACAATTTAAAAACACAAGAAGTTAAATATTAAAAGATAAATTAAACAATATAT